GCCGGGGGAAGGGATGTGGGTGGGAGAGGGTGGCACCGCCAGCTCCCCTGGGTGCTGCCACCCGCGCCGTGTCCCCGCAGGTGGCCGTGGGCAGCCGTGGGTGCAGTTCCCTCGGCGGGCAGCCCGCCTGCCCCGCAGTTCCACCTACAGCCAGCTCGCCGCGTCCCTCACCGCCGCCTCCGGCCCCAGCCTGGCCCGCGCCTTCCCCGCCTTCCTCGGCACAGAGCAGGACGGCACCGGTATATTTTTTTTTTTATTTACTTTTTATTTTTCCTTTTAAATGTATTTATTTTCTTTATTTTACTTTGAGTTTGCGTCTATTTTTTATTTTATTTTTATCTGTATGTTTCTTTTTATGTTATTTTTTTAATTTATTTTTTATTTATTCTCTTGTGGTTTTTTCTTTTTACTTTATTTCTATGTTTATTTTATTTTTATTTTTAAATTTTAAAATTTATTTATTCTATTTTGTATTTTTTATTTTTATGGTTTTTTTTTATTTTTATGTTTATATTTTTTATTTTACTTTTTATTTTATTTTATTTTTTATAATATATTTCTTTTAAATTTATTTTTGAATGTTTTGATCTTTCAAATTTTTATTTTAATTTTGTTTTACTTGTGCGTTCGTTTTTATTTTGTTTGGATTTTAATTTTTATTTTTAACGTATCTTTTATTTTTATTTTTATTTTATTTTTATTATAATTTAAATTTAATTTTATTTTACTTTTATATTTGTTTTTTTATTTTATTTTTATTGTTTCTTTTAAAAATAATTTTTAATTTAATAATTTTTTAAAATTTTATTTTTATATTTTTTAAATTTCTATTTTATTTTTAGTGGGTTTTTTTTACTTTATTTTTATTTATTTTTATATTTTTAAAATTTCTATTTTATTTTTTTTTTTACTTTATACTTATTTTTATATTTCTTAATTTTCTATCTTATTTTTATTTTTTAAACTTTATTTTTATTTATTTTTATTTATTTTCATTTATTTCATTTTATTTTGTAATTTTTGTACACGGGACACTGTTGCCTTGTTGGGGGGGGGTGTCACCCCGTGGCGTGTCCCCTCCTGGACGTCCCCTCGTTGTCCCCGCAGCCAATGGCACGTGGCTGGAGCTGGCGCCGGTGGCGGCTCTCAGTGTTCACCTGTTCACCGGTAACGGGACCGAGGTGCCGCTGGCCGGCCCCGTCCATCTGTCCGTCCCCTTGGCCCCCGAGGCCGCGGCCGTGGTGGCCACCAGCGTCCCGGCCTGGAGGTTTGACCCCAAGAGCGGTGAGTGCTGGTTTTGGGGGGGTTCTGGGTGGGGGTGGGTGGTAGAAGGGTGACACGGATGGTGTGTGTGTGTGGGGGGGGTGTGATGAGTTTGGGGGGGTCTCAGCCCGACGTGTGTCCCGGCAGGGCTGTGGGTCCGGAACGGGACGGGGCTGATCCGCAAGGAAGGCCGGCAGCTCTACTGGACATTCGTCTCCTCCCAGTTGGGATACTGGGCAGCGGCTCTGCCCTCCCCCAGCACAGGTGAGTGTGCCCTCTCCCTGGGCATTTATTCAAAGCACCTTAAATGGATTTTCTGAAAGTGGGAGAGTGGGAAATGCATCATGTGCCACCTTTAGTGGGTGCCACCAACCTGAGTCCTCCTGGCCCTGGGGACAGACTGTCTTGGGGGTGCTCTGAGTGGGGTGGGGTTCCCTTCTGACCCCACCATCTCCAGGGCTGTCTGGGGGCCTGGCATCCCCCTGAGGTGCTCTGGTGGGAGGGGGTTCCCCTCTAGCCCCCCTGTCCCAGGGCTGTCTGAGGTGGGGGGGAGGTCACAGCCTCCTGGGGTCTCTGGTGGGGGCTTCTCCCCCTGACTCCCCATTCCAGGGCAGTCTTTGGGGAGTGGCACCACCCTGGGGTGCTCTTGGTGGGGTGAGGGTTCCCCCTTTGATCCCGCTTTCCCCAGGGCTGTCTAGGGGGGCAGTGGCAGCCCCCTGGGGTGCCCTTGGGGGGGTTGTTGCCCCTCTGACCCCGCTGTCCCCAGGGCTGGTGGCGATGGCGGCGGGTGTGACGGACATCACCACCTACCACACCATCTTCCTGCTCACCATCCTGGGTGCTCTGGCCCTCCTCGTCCTCATCCTCCTCTGCCTCCTCATCTACTACTGCAGGTTAGCACCCCCCTGACCCTGGTGGGGGGTGGGAACACCCCCCTGCCTTGCCCCCCAGCCTGACATTCCATGTGGGAATGGGTGTTCAGCACCCACTGGAACCCCTGGGTGCCCTATAGCTGGGGGGGGACATTCCCTGGCATCCCTGGGTGCCCTATGGCTGGTTATGGGGAGGGGGCACCACCCCATGGCACTTGGAAATGGGGGGCACGACCTCCCAGCACCCACTGAGGAGGGGGCACCACCCTGTGGCACCCCCAGATCCCCTCTAACTGGATTTATAAGGGGGGAACTGCCCTCTTGGCACTCCTGGGTGCCCTAAAGCTGGGTTGGGAAGGTGGACACCAATCCCCAACACCTCTGGGTGCCCTGGAAGTGGATTTGAGAGACAAACACCACTCCTCAAAACCCCTTGGACACCAATCCTCAGCACCCCCTGAGTACCCTCTAGCTGGACTGGGAGTGGGGGACACCAAACCCCAACACCCCTGGGTGCCCTAGAACAAGGTTGGGAGGGGGGGCAACCATCCCCAACACCCTTGGGTACCCTTCACCAGGATTTGGGGGAAACATACCACTCCCTAATACCCTAGAGATGATTGGGAAGGGGGTACACCACTCCCCAGCATCCCTGGGTACCTTGTCGCTGGCTACAGTCCCCTCCTCCAGCTCCCTCCAGCGGGGGGGCTGTTGGGGGACCCGCGCACCCACGGGTGCCCCCCCCGAATCTCCCCCCCGCAGGCGACGGTGCCTGAAGCCCCGTGCTCAGCACCGCAAGCTGCCGCTGCCGGGGCCGCTGGACGGGGCGCGCCGGGACCAGGCGACATCCGTGTCCCAGCTGGACCTTCTGTGCGGGGGCAGCCACCTGGAGACCGCCTCCTCCGGGGGGGACACCGACCTGCCCACCCCCAGCCTGCCCCCCTCGACCCGCGAGCTGACCCCGGCCCGCCCGGACTTCTTCCAGCCGCCGGCCCCCGCCCAGCTCCGCGCTGGCCCCCGCGGGACCCCCGCGGCCACCCTGGCCCCCCGCCGCCGCCAGCCCCCCGCCACGGAGGACTATGGGCGCCCCGGAGAAGCCTTCGGCCTCAGGGCCGCCCGCTCGGTGGACGGGCTGCAGCCCCCCGAGGAGCAGCATCCCCGGGGCACCCCCGCCTTCCCCCCGCGGCCCCCCTCGCCCTCGGGGTTCTCCCGCTACGGAGGGCAGCCCACCGAGCACCCGCTGCCTGAGCCCCCGCCCCGCCCGCCCTCGCTGGCACCCCCCGGCCCGCTCCTTCTCTGCGGGCCCCTGGACCGGGGCGGGGGTCCCGAGGATGTTTACCGGGGGGTGATGCCCACCCTGCTCATCCCCGCCCGATACATGCGCCTGGCGCCCGGCGAGCCGGAGGGACCCCCCGAATCCGATGCGGGGTCCAGCTCCTCGGCAGCCACGTCCGCCCCCCCGGCCCCCCCATCGTCCGGGCAGCCCTTTGAGGAAGGGGAAAACTGGGGGGCTGCCCGTGCCCCCCAACCGGTGAGCGGCTCGGTGGCCATCCCGGTGCTGCTGGACGGGTCGGCGGTGGCCCAGCTCAACGGGGAGCTGCAGGCGCTGGCGGGGCAGCAGCTCCTGGAATTGGGAGGTCCCCCCCCTCCCCGAGCCTGGTTCGTGTCCCTGGACGGGCGTTCCTCCCAGGTCCGGCATTCCTACATCGACCTGCAGGGCAGCGAGAGGGGGCCCGGCCCCGCGCCCCCCGCCCGCCTCCCCCGGGCCGCCGCAGGTGGGGGGGAGGACGGGGGGCCCCGGCCCCCCCTGCCCGCCCCCTCCCCCGAGGACAGCTCGCTGGCCCCCTTGCTGGAAGCGGGGAGCGGGGGGCGGCGCGGGGGGGGCAGCGGGCGCAGCAGCGCCAGCGAAGCCCCCCGAGACTCCCTGACCAGCCCCGAGGAGGAGGCGCTGACGGAGGCGGGCGATGGGGGGGACGAAGGCGGCGACCGCAAGAGCCCCTGGCAGAAGCGGGAGGAGCGACCCCTGATGGTTTTCAATGTGAAGTGAGTGTGGGGAGGGGGGGGGGGCACGTCCCAGGGGTGCTGGGATGGAGGGTACACCGCTGCTGTCATCCATTCCATCGCCGGTGTCCTCTCCCGTCACTGTCCCGTCCCACTGCCGTGCCGTGCCGTGCCATGCCACACCATCCTGTCTTGTCACTGTCCTCTCCCACCTCCATCCCAGCCCACCATCCTGTCCCATCCCACCCCTACAGCACCCTGCCACCCTTGTCCCTTTCTGCCACCACCCCTCCCTGCCCCTGTCCCTTGCCCACCCACTCTCCTGCCAGGGGAGGGGGCACAGGGACCACCACTAGGCCTCCTCTGTCCACATCTGCTTGGGACCCCTGCCCTGTCCCCTCTGTGTCCTCCTTGCGACATCCCCTGTCATTTGGGGGGTGGGAATTGCACATTCCATGTGCCCCCCGGTCCTGAGCCGTGTCCCTGTTTGCGTCCCTGCAGGACAGGGGGGGCTGGCACTGCCCCCCGAGCCAGCGGTGCCTCCAAGCTGCCGTAGGAGCCTGGGGGGTCCCTGTCCCTGCCCCCCACCTCATCCCCCTTTGGATTTTAATTGTGTTTCTAAACGTTTTCTACGTGGTGAGGATGAAGAAGGGCCAGTGGGGGCCGGGCCGGCAGCGGGGGGGGGGACACACGGGGACCCCCCCAGGTGCCAGGCTGGGCAGGGAGCTGCTGCCTGCACCTGCCTGCACATCCTGCCTGCTCCTTAGAGGCATTAATATATTAAACACACAAAATCCCCCCCAGCCTCTGCCTCCTGCCTCCGTTTCCCCCCCCACACACACACACCAGCACCAGGGGTGGGGCTCCTCCTACAAACCGTTTATTGGGGTGGCGGCACTCAGGGTGGGAGGGGGGGGCATCAGAGCAGCTCCCTGGATGGGGGGGAGGGCAGGTCCCAGCGCTGGGGGCTGCACCCCCAGCCCCCCCCCGTGCAGCGGGACCCCGCGGGGCAGCAGTGGCGGCCGTCGGAGCAGCAGGAACCCTGCGGGGCGGGGGGAAACACACGGGGTGAGGAGGGGAGGGGGTGATGCCACCCAGACCCCCACCCTGGCGTGCCCTCCCACTAACCTGGGCGAAGGGGCAGCACCCCCAGGAGCCCCCCCGGGCCCGGCAGCACCGCTGCCCCCCGCGGCAGGAGCTGGTGGCACTGCAGGGCACGGGGGCACCTGGGTGGGCACCGGTGGCTCGCAGCGGGGCGGGGGGCACGGGGGGTGCCCAGCGCAGGGGGGAGGGCGCCCCACGGGGGTCTGCAGGCGCTGGAAGCAGCGGGGTGGGCGCCAGCAGCAGTTTCTCACAGCTCTCGGTGGCCACGTTGCAGGTGTAGCCCCGGGGGCAGCAGTGCTTGTGGTCCCCACAGCAGACGGCCTGGAGAGGGGGGAGACACAGGACAGGCTGGGAGCAGTGGGGGACACAGGTGTTCAAGTAGCAGGGACCCAGGTATCTGGGGGATTCAGGTGTCTGGGTACCCAGGGAGCTGGGCATTTGGGTGCTATCCCGACCTCCCCACTCCGTGTATCCCATTGCACCAGCAGAGCCCCAGGGACGGTGCCAAACCCTGTCCCCAAGGTGCCCGCAGAGCCTCCGTGCAGGTTGGGGCAGTGACAAATGTGGCAGTGACAAAGTTGTGGGACTCCCTTTCCCTCCCAGCCCTGCTTGGCACCAAAGCCACGCTCTGTCTGAACCCACCCATTCCATGCCCAACACCTCGTGCCCTGGGACCCCCACCCCACCCCTGGGACCCCCATACTGCAGGGACACCCCCGGACCTGCTCGAGGGGGCAGCACCCCCAGGTGCCCAGGCTGAGCCGGCAGCACGTGCTCCCGTCGGGGCAGCTCGTCTCCTCGTCACATGTGACATTCCCTGATGTCACCTGTCCCCCTCGGGGCAGTGCCAGGGTCTTCCTCACCCAGGGCAGGCTGGGGACCCCCCCCTGCAGGCAGCTGCCCCCCTCGGGGTCACAGGTGTAGCCCTGGGGGCAGCAGTGCACATGGTCAGAGCAGCAGACGGCCTGGGGGGCAGAAAGTGGGAGCTTGAGCATAGGGGAGCTCCACCAGGGACCCCCCAACTTCATGCTGGGGACCCCAGGGGACAAACGTGCCCCCTCCTGTCTGTTCCTGCTGTCCCCAGTCCCCCCTGACCCAACCTGGTTTCATCTTCACTATGAGGGGGCACAGATAGAGGGACCCCCTCATGATACTTGTCCCACATGAAGGTCCCTGAGCACCCTGGTGGCTTTGTGTCCCTGGATCACCTCCTGCCACTGGAGCCCCAAACTGGTCCCAGTTAGCACAGAGGGTCACATGGTGGTGGGAGGGAGCAAAAGGGCCTCATTCCAGTGGGACACTGGGGAGCAGAGCCCTCCCCATTCCTCCTCGGGGACAGGGGACATGTGCCCTCATCCCTCAAGGATCAAAGGGTCATCTCGCTTTGTCCTTCCTAGGGGAAAGGGGACAATGGCCTTTGTCCCACCAGGACACAGGGGAGCCCCACTCCACCCCACGGGGGAGTGGGGGGGAAAGAAAGTGGCCGTGTCCTGTTGAATGTCCCCGTGTCCCCCATCCAGCTGCTCCAGCCACCTGGGGTCCCCTGAGCCTTGTCCCCCCCTCCAAGGTCACCCCTGGAATCTCAGCCCTGGGTGAGATCCTCACCCCCCTGGGTGTACCACCCTGGCCCCCCACCCCGCTGGGGACCCCACCGTGTCCTTGTCCCCACAGTGGGGGGGTGGGCAGAGCCCCCCAGACCTGCTCGAGGGGGCAGCACCCCCAGGTGCCCAGGCTGGCACGGCAGCACGTGTTCCCGTCGGGGCAGCTCGTCTCCTCGTCACACTTGACGTTCCCTGATGTCACCTGTCCCCCTCGGGGCAGTGCCGGGGTCTTCCTCACCCAGGGCAGGCTGGGGACCCCCTCCTGCAGGCAGCTGCCCCCCTCGGGGTCACAGGTGTAGCCCTGGGGGCAGCAGTGCACGTGGTC